GGGCCCGAACGGACAGCATCGGATCCACCGTTTCCTCGGAGCGCTCCGACTCCGACCGAGGTGAGGCCCCGCGCGCTCGCTGCCGGGTCGCGCCGCGCTCGCCGGCCGCGCCGCGACGCCGCTCTCTCTGCTTGCAGAAGACATCGACGTGGACGTGGAGAGCACGGACGACCTTCCCGCCGACCTGGACTGGAGCAGCAGCAGCCTGAGCGACTCGGACGAGCGGGGCAGCCTGCAGAGCGTGTGCAGCGACGAGGGCTATTCCAGCGCCGGCGTCAGGAGGTTGAAGACGCAGAGCGACCACAAGCCTCGTCTGGGTCTCTAAAAGTGACTCCTGCGGCCGTTTCCCTTCTGGATCTCGCTAGGTTGTGTCTTGGACCGTCCCACGATTCTCTTGCACGTCAATCCGATGTCCCGAAACAGGGCGTAGGGGTGTGGGTTCCACCCATCCGATCGCATCCGCTAGCTCCTCTTCCCGGCGGGAAGCTCAGCTCTGAGACCCTACATTCCAACCAAATTTTCACGCGCCTGGGGAATATTTTAGCAGTAACAGCGACCTAAAAAAGCCTCCGCTCTTTTTGTTTTTGGCTTGCTGTTAGTGCCTGGTATTCTAGAACCACTTCCTATTCGCCTAGCAATGTCACGTATCTTGTAAGTGGAAGCAGAGCCCAAAAGTCACCCGTTTGGGCGACGCTCCGAAGGGAGGGTTGGCCTCACGCTGCGTTCAGACCTGGCAGCGGGTGGAGGGAAGCCCGGGAACGGCGCACGGAGCGTTTGGGACGCGTCGCGTCTCGCGTGCGCGGTGATTGCACTGTGAAACGCTGGCACGTTAACTCGAGGACTTATCTCTACGTATTCAGGGTAGCAGCGTCACCGGGTCACCTTTGGCCTGCTCTTGCCGTCTTACTGCAGCTCCTACTGATTTTTTGAAGGCCGAAAAGCGGGAGAAATCCCGTGAAGGCCACTCCTGCGTCAGCGCCCGCGGAGAAAAGGGAGGTTTCACCGCATCGGGACCCATCTCAGGAGGTTTGGAACCCCCTCTGCCAAAAGTAAGGCGCTTCTCCCTGCCAAACCGGGCTGTGGGACCTTGGCAAGGGAGCTCCTGCTCCTGCAGAGCCTTGGAGAGGACGTCCTCAGCTGTTACACATCTCAAAAGTTTCTTTAATACCTAAAACCAAATGGTACTATACTTCTCCTGTGCAATTTATGACCTCGTGCATTACAGCTGCATATTACTGTTCTAGGCAAGTTTTCCTAGAAGCTTCTTCACGCGTCTTGTCTCTGGGACAATTTTTTCTACCTCGGAGAGATGAACAAAGATTATCTCGATCCCTTTAGCACAAAAATAATGATGCCTCATTCGTTTGATAGCAGCGACGCTTGGGCCCGGCCGGATCTGTTAGCAATAACCGAGCGAGGGGGGCGGCCGGCGGCGCTCCCGGGGGGCCCGTTTTCCCCAACGTCGCTTGGCAGTGAATTCCTGCATTTCTTTGGAGCGTTGCTGGCATTTTAGCACTTCTTTGGCTGGTTGAGTTACTCTTAGGCACTCTCAAACTGGTTCTCTAAGGATTTTGGTTGCCACCTTTGAGAGAGGGAAAATAAATGGCAGAAGTACAAGCCCCCCTTCCCCTCCCCACCAAGCCGTGGTTTCCAACCTTGCAGCGCTTTCCTTTAAGCCAACGAGAGCACATGTAAATGTACATAAAAACACATGATCTATAAATAGTATTTATTCATTTTATATGAAACTAATGTAATGGAGATACCTTCTTATGACTTTGTGCTTTTATAGATGTTCCAGGAACTTTGTACGTAGCATCGGCTAACTGAGATATATAGATTTCTTTGGTCCTTTTTTTTTTTTGCTTGAAATGTTTTAAGGTCTTTATATGTGGCCCACTCGGCAAACCCGTCGCGGTGACGGTGACACGACCAACTCGCGCAAGGCGACCGGAATGAGCAACTTTCCCATCCAAGGGCTACGTAGCTTATTGAGCGACCGGCCGCACCGACGGCCTTTCGTGCTCTTGAAAAACTAATTTAAAATAGGCAATTTCCAAGACTTTGCTAGTGGAGCTGCCAAAAGCCACTAAGACACTCTGTAAAGTGCAAGTGAATGACCTATACAAGACTTGGTTTGTTTTGGGTTTTGGTTTTTTTAAGTATCCTTAAGCTATTTTTGGATCATTTGACCTCTTTGAAAAGCAAGTGGATGGGAGATGGGGCTAGTGGATTGCTGAATCTCCAAAATATGTTCTCTTTTCGCGTGTGCTGTGTTTTAAAAGGAGAAAACAAAGGATTTTTTGTTGTTGTTGTTTTTCAACAGCTGGGATTTTTGCACGTCCAGCGTATTTGCACTGAACTCCGATGCCTTTTGCATTCGTACGCCTGCTTCCTAAGTCCAAGCAGAGAATCCTCTTCAGAGAGCTAGCTCAAACCCAGGAAACTTCAAAAATATAAATGAAAAGGATAAAAATTAGGTGAATATCTGCACTTGGAGGTCCTTTGATCCCATCAGTTCTTGCTGGAGAGACGTATGCAGGTTTTTCTGTTCTGCAGAGAACAGAAAAAGCTGTTTTCTGCATAACGTGTTGCATAAACGCTGCAGATATCGCCACCGTCTTCAGGGCAAAAGTAACTTTAGACTTTTGGAAAGTGTCAGAGGGGGAAATTCGAGTTGCAAAATTGAGCACTTAAGTTTTTTTTGTTGTGTTCTTTTATTTAGCCCTACTCAGTCTTAAGGTTTTGACTCCATGTTTTTTGGTTCTTAATTGTTGTGCCTTTTTGAGTTAAATGCGTTCTTTTTTTTTCTTCTATTTTTTGGTGAAATACTGTGTGGTTTTTGTCCCGATATAAACCGGTACTTATTTGACCTTTGCACTGTTCGGATGTGGTCCTCTCGCTTGTGACGTCCTAGAAAAAGAATTGAACTTTGGGAAATGATGCACTATTGTCAAACTGACACAAGGGTAAATAGGGTGTTTTTTTCCAAAACTCTCAGCAAGGGAAGTGCATTTTTCCGCCTGGGGCTCCGTTGGCGGCTCTGGGTCCTCCCGTCTCGGACGCGGAGCCCAGTCCCGGCGGCCGAATCCACTTTGGAGGCTGCGGAAATGGTAGCACTGTTCTGTTTTGCCAGCCTTTCTCTCGAATTCACTGATCCACCAGCATTACTAAGAAATAAACTGCAGAAATAAAACTTTTGTAGATTGTTATAAAGGGGGAGGCCCTCGCGCGCCCCGCGTTTACGACTGATAGTTGCACAGCTGTGTGTGAGTGTAAAACACGCCTTTTTTCCCCTCTCCCTCCTCTTTTCTTCCGTCTTTTCGTCGTCCCCTCGCGGAGGGCAGATCCCAACGCGACGCCGGGCGCTCGCTCGAGGCCGGACGCTCTCGTGGCTCAATCAGAGCGGTAGCGGCGGCTGTTGCGATGCCCGATGCTCCCGGCGCGGGTCCCGCGTGCGGCTGAGCTCTCACCCCATCGAGGGGCATCGCCAGCGCCGGGTTCTTGGGTAAAGTCACCGAGCACTTTTGGAGCGGGCTCTGCCGCAGCAATAGGCCAGGGCGCCACTGCCGCCTCTGCCCTGGCTTTGGAACAGACTTCAGGTTTTGACACTGTACTGTATCGGGAGGAATCCTGCTTTTGCCAAGCCGCGTGTTTGCTCCCCTGGAATTGTTATTTTGTCGCTTTTGTTGCTGCTCCGCGCGAAAGTCGCGTTTCTTTGGTCTTTATTTGCCCGCTGGTAGCAACAGGTCCCGGATTCCCCAGCTTTGCTGAACCACAAACCTTGTGCGATGGCTCCGTGGCGAGCAGCCTGCCCAGATGTTGAGGAGGGGAAGGAAAAGGGCCGTGTCCCGGGTGCTGGTGCTTCCAGCACCACAGTGAGCGCGGCCGGGACACCAGAAACCCTCCTCGCTCCTCCGGGGCAGCTGCACGGGGCCGCGTTCCCCAAGGCCGACGGGAAAACGCAGCAGAGGCTTCGCTCTCCCCCTTGCTCTTTGCTGGGAAGCCGTTGCATGACTTGAAAACCTTCTGAAATGTCCAAAGCTCTAGTTGGCCTGGGGTTTCTATCGGGTTTTACTTACGCTTTGCTTCTTTGCTTCCTGTTCGACACGAGAACCGACCTCGCTCGCCTCGCTTTGCGCCAGTCTTCCAGAAACCGAACACGGGCTGAACGGGGCAGCGGCCGAGGGGACACCATGAATCCTGTTTCCAGTTCCTCGTGTAAATACCACATGATTTGAAATCCTGTGTCAAGACCATCTAATGGTGCTTTTTATTACTGTTAGCACATGCATTTTTAGAAACTCCGTGTTTTAGATGACCTTGCTGTGTATATGTATACTTCTGTATTGTTCAACTGTTAGAAAATAAATTATTTCATTATTAAAGTGTGTGTTGCCTCCCGAGCGAGTGGCCGAGGCCAGGGGTGGTTGTCTGCCTTGTGGTTGGGGCACCTCTCCAGCGAGCGCCCATCAAACCAGCCTTGCAGAGGGAGCAGTGGCACTTGTTGAGGCAAAGAGCTGCTGGCCAAAGGTCCTGAGAAACCTCAGGGCTCCCCCTATGGAGCCCTTGGACAAAGAGCAGGTGAGGAAGATGCCCCATGGAGCAGATCCCATGGGATTGCCAAGAGCCTCATGTGCTGCAGGCTCCAGCTGAGATGGAGGTTCAGCCTCCCCTTGTTGCTGGCCCAGCCCCATCCTGCCCCTAAGACCTGAAGCTCTCAGCAATGACCTTGACCGGGGCCTCTTGTGCTCCGTTGCAACCTGCCTCTGCTTGCAGGAGCTCTGTGTCCTGACAAGGGTTATTTTGTGGGGAATTAATTTCCCTGGGGGGTTTGGAGCCCAGCTCTGCCCATGGCTTGGTACCGGCTGGGGTGGCCCTGGCCAGGGGCTCTGCAGCCTTTTCCCAGCCTGGAGCTGATCTGACTCCCTGCAAAGCGGCGGCCCTGCGGCTGCCACAGGGAGGCTCCATCCACCGTGTCCCAGAGCTGCCACCACCCTCCTGCACCTGTTATTCCACCGTGCCTTCCTCTTCCAGCCTCTTCCTCCTCTGTCCTCCAACCCCTGCCCCTTGCGGCACCCTCCATCCTGCCCTGGCCGCCTTCTGTGGGAGCAGTTTCTGCCTGGATCGGGGGCACGGGAGCCAGCAGCTGCCCCCCACAGCGAAGGGCTGGGGACAGCGGAGCGGAACAATCCCGGGAAAAGCGGCCTGAGGATGAGAACAGAGGCGTTTCACTACCCCCCATGCCCTGGCTGCGGGGGCTGTTCCCCAGCCCCGTCCCTGCCCCGCTGGGCACGAGCCCTTCCCCTTCCA